GTCCCCCGTCCCCCCTTGTTCTTCTTCCTATTCTGGCTCTTTCCTGGAATAACTGAGGATTTAATTCTCCTCCCCTACCTTTCTGCCCATCTCCACTCTCCATCTTGATACGAGTTAGTGTCAACCCATTTGCTCTCTAGATCAGAACCTCGCCCGTTGATTACTGCTATCTGGCATTATTTGATTTCCCTGGATAAAACAGGGAGAAAAGTGGGTTCGTCCACACTCCCACCCCTGGGAGAAATTAAGCAAATCTCAGCAAACCCGAGCAGAAATCAACACACTCGAAGTCCTTAACGTCGAGTGAAAACCCTTCCAGGCTCCACTGACTGCACAGACTAAACGTTTCTTCCAGGAACACTGCGGGGTTAATCACGATGTTAATTTCTTTGCAATTCTAGAGCCAAATCGAAAAACGGGGGGAGATCTTTGCGAGAAAGGCTAGAAAAAATCGGTTTGAATTTACCAGCCGGCAGGCGTAAGGCCGCAAATGTCACTTTACTCACCTCCCTGGTGGAAGGTAAGCCGAGGGTCGCAGCTCCCTTCACACCCCTGCCTCCTCTGAACTCGTGTCTGACATTTTCCGAATCAAAAAAAACCAAACCCCAAACAACAAAAAACCAAATCACCTTTCGGGATCAGGTGGGACAATCATGCAGAGGTGAAATTCAGGGCGGGTTGGGATGAACAACGGCACGGTTAAGCATCCCATTCCCAAAAATGCAGTCGTTGGCTGGTCATTGATCTCTCTTGGTGGCAAGAATGAGGTTATGTGTGTGTGTACGTGTCTCTCTGTGTGTATGTGATTCTGCAGGGCAGTCCCGTTCCTCATTACTATTAATTTCCAACCGGTGCTCTCCGACTCCATGTGTACTCCAACCTCCCGCTAATTCGCTCCTCCCGAGCTTATTTATGGCCACTACAGGACGCTCAATGAGGAAAAAGAATACAGAATGTACTTTTATTTTGGAAAAAAAATAAAAGAAAAAAAAGAAGAAGAAGAAGAAGAAATCAGAGCAATTGAAGAGTCGCAGAGCGCGGTTTAGGTGGCTAGAACTGAACAAAGAGACAAGCTGTTCCTGAGGAAGTAGAGAGGGAAAGGGAGTTTCACCTCATTTCAAGACACCTAATGTCATTTCGGTGGTCGGCGTGTTTCTTTGATTTATTGTTACTGTATTGAAAAGTAAAGTTTAGAACCACTAATATGTTTAGGATACGTGCTTGTTTATGCTAAGAGAAGTTGGACCTTCTCCAAAAAACCTAACCGGAATAGTATGGATGCAATTATGAATTATATGTATCTGCATTACACACACACACCGAGAGGCGTATAAATAATCCACTTATCTCTTCTGCATATAAGCGTGCATAAATATTTGTGCTAGATATTAACTTTGCAACTCTTTTGACTGAGTTCTGCGAGCGATAGGACCTTACCGCATGCAGAGCTGAAGGCAGGCTGGCAAAAAGGCGGGGGCTGATAGGAAGGAGCTTCTCCTGGTACCCGCGGATAGGTGATGACGAGTGTGCAAAGCACAGCGTAGGTCACAGGTAGAGGGGTCGCGCTATAGGAGACGCGAAGCACTTCGGGTGTGACAACTACCCTTCAACGCTGGGCTTGGTGCAGCTTCACCCCAGCTGCGTGTGGGAAAACCGGTGCAACCTCCTCCCAGCAAAATCAGCCCCTCCCCGAAGGTGGCTTGAAGTTCAAAAGCCTATGCGGTTATGCGGGGATGCTAAAATCCGTGTCAAATGTGGAATAAGGTGAACATCATCCTCTTCTCCTTCGATTTCCTTACAAATCCACAGCTTACCTCGAGAGAGCTCCCTCTTTTTGGAAGAAGCCGCACCTGCTGGAATTTTATCTTCTTTTCTGCCACCCGTCAGGCTTTAGCCCTGCTGCTATCGTATCGCCGGGAGCAGAGGCGCTCCGGCCAGCCCCGGCCGGGATTACCCGAGCGGTGCCCGGGGGGACCGTGCCCGGCGCGGGGTGAGCGCGGCGGGGACACCTCGGTCTCCGCCGGGTGCCCTTGGCTTTCGTGAAGTGGTTTGGTGATTAGCGAGAAGCTATGGAAAGCAGAAGATGACGTTGGAAAGCAACTCCCGACCGTTAAAAGTGATGTGGTCCTGGAGTTATTAGACATATCTGGTTCGCGTGTTGGAAATCTTCCCCCTGGTCCCTCAGGCGGTGCTTTAAAGGGTTTAATGCTTTATTCTAGAGGGGCTGAACTATAATCTGGTAGAATCCCCCTAGAGTCTGAGGTGTCCCCTCCCGCCTTTTCCTCCGTTCTGCAGCTACTGTCTTCTTCTTGTGGCTTGAAGTGCATCAGTAGGAGTTGGATGACATGAACCTCTGGAGGCAAGAAACCTGAAACCAGGCAGGCAGGAAAAGTGACAATTAGAATTAGAGTTAGAAAAATCATTATTTTTCCCAGAAAAAGGTTGCCATTTGTTGCTATCTTTCCACCGGACAGAGAGGAGTTCCTGTTGCATGATGGTCAGTTAAGAAAGCAGATTAATAATTTCCATCAGACGAAAGGCAGTTGTCTCCATCGTTTTACAGATGTGGCGATAACTGCGATAATGATGCAAGTGTTCTGTGTGTGTGTGAATAAACAAGTGTTTATATAACGTTCCACAATGAATTGACATTAACGTTAACACTATGTCCACATATATAAAATTCTGGACAACGATTTGGTGTATTGAAACAGGAATGGTTCCTCTGCTCTTAAGAGAAGTTTGGGTCCTGTTGCCTTTAGGGAGTTAACTAGTCCCCCTTCGCCTTTGTTTTTGGCCAAGTCAATTTGAAAGTCAATGTGTGTGTGTGTATATATACGTGTGTGTGTGTATGTATGTGTGTGTGTGTGTGTACTTTTCCCATGGTTCTGCACAATCAGCTGCATGGGTACACACCATCACAAGCGCGTTGCAGCATCAGCTGAAAAATCTGTCCCATCAAATTACTTCTACCCCCGAAATAGGGTTTGCGGAGGGAAAACATATACCTGGAGCCTGTCCCTAAGGTACAAGGGGTGTGATAAAGGTTCCTAAACACGGCCCGAAAGAGCTGGTCTTTCCCGGAGGGAGCGGGGGCAGCAGCCCACTGCCGCCCGGTGCCTCGGCGGGTCGGAGCCAGCCCAGCCTGGGGCCGGCGGTGCCCGGAGGTGTTAATGCCCCTCTCATTCCCTCCAGGTGAGGCCGTTCATTTAGCTCGGGATTTTGGGTACATCTGCGAAACGGAATTTCCAGCCAAAGCTGTTTCTGAGTACCTGAACAGACAGCACACGGACCCCAGCGACCTCCACTCCAGGAAAAACATGCTGCTTGCTACAAAGTGAGTGCGAAGTTGACCCCCCTCCACACACACACCTCTGCCCTTCCCCGAGAAAATCCTCCCCCTCCTTAAACCTTTCCTCTGAGCTCGTTTTGAAAGCAGAAGGAATTTCCAGTCCCCAAATGACACCGGCCCCGCGGGGAGGAAGGATGCTCTTATCGCCCTAGGGGCAGGGTAGACCCTGTAGCCTCTGCGTCCCTCTGCAGCCAGCACAGGCTGGCCCTACAGAGGACGTAAGCGACTGTCCCCTTGCTACTGGGCATCGTTTCCAAGCCACCCCCATTTAAAAAAAAACCCCAACTTTATGGAAAGGGGATGAAAAATCTGTGTTTCGGTTCCACAGCGTGTCTGTCCGTCCTTCTTGGTGCTCCCCCACACCTGTTTGTCTGCTACTGAATTGCAACGTCTTTTCTATGCGGTTTAATTAAAAAAGAAAAAAAAAAGTCAAAAAAAAAAAAAAGGTGAAAAAAAAAAAGAAAAGGAAGAAAAAAAATACCTCACCACCATTTACTGCTTGTGATCCTCGGTTTGGTCCCCCCAGCCCATCTCTCTCCCTTGGGGCCACCTCAGTGGATGTGCTGTATTGGATGATTTACACTTGGCTGTGCCTCCCAGGCTGCTAACTGGGTGCTTCATAGTTTGCTTGGGTCCTTGGTAGTGGGTGTTGTGAGTCTCCACGCATCTCCGTCTATCTGCCAAAAAAAAAGGGGAAAAAAAGGAAGGGGGAAAAAAAAAAAGAAAAGAAAGAAAAAAAAGAGAGAAAAAAAAATACCAGCCCAAACAGCTCTCATTTATTTCATGCTCTGGGATGTGGCTTGCCTCCGATGACAGTGTAATTTAAAGAAATATATGGAGGGTTGAAAAATCATTTGCTCAAATTTGTCCAGATGTTTTTTAGACGTGATTGGAATTTGATTGCCCTTTTCCGCAGGGTCAGAAGATATTAATGTCCCAGCACTTTAATTGCTCGCAGACCCTGCTTTGCTCTTTGAAGATGTAAAATGTTGGACTCATTACTGTTTGTTCTCCAAATTCAAAGTTTCCTCTCTTGCACTTTCTTAATGGATAATACACATAGAAGTAGACCTTTATCTTTTCCCACCCTCTGAAACCTTTAACCCACCGGGAATTTCAGAGAATTTCAGAGGATGAGAGCTGAATGCCTTTTTTAAGTGTTTCTTTTTCTTTTTCTTTTTTTTTTTTTTTTTTTTTTACTTTATTTTTTTTAATTCTGGCTTTTTTTCTCCAGTCCCTGGGTAGGCGTCTGTCTCAAAGAAAGTATTCCTTTGGGAACGCCACCAGCCCTCAGGGTTTCTACATTGCCCAGGCACCTGTAGACTTTAAGGCCTTTTGGACCAGCCCAATGCAAAAGAAATTGTATGTGTGAGAAATCATTAGAAAAATCAAATCTGATTTTCCAAAGGTGTGGGCAAACAAACAAGAGTCAGTTTTCAACTCTGATGGTTAATTGGGATGCCATCCCCCCAAAATAAAATAGGATATGCTAGCTGTGCTCCTCATGCAATGAATAAGCTTGCATGGGGTCCCAAAGTCCTGGTCTTTTTCCACAAGGTGGCCCAGCCTAAGCAGTCTCAGAGGAGGCTCCATTTTGGCCCTTCCCTGCATCATGTCCCCGTGCCACCCGGTAGCTCTCAGCGCATGGTAGTGCTTTCCTCCAAGAACAGCACTGCTGGGAGCTGCTTTAAGCCAGGGTCAGGCCTCAAGGAAGACGGGTGGTTGGCAGACCCGGGGCACATATCCCTGTCAGCCTGAGTGCTTCTAAGGCCACCAAGCAAGGCTGGGTTTTCACAGTGCTTCAGGATCGTAGGATCATTTAGGTTGGGAAAATCCTGTATGATTGTTAAGTCCAACTGTTAACCTAGTACTACCAAGTCCACCCCTAAACCATGTCCCTAAAAGCCACATCTACACGTCTTTTAAATACCTCCAGGGATGGTGACTCCACCACTTCCCTGGGCAGCCTGTTCCAACACTTGATAACCCTTTAAGTGAAGATTTTTTTCCTAATATCCAACCTAAACCTCCCCAGAAGCATCCTTGTGGCTGCAGGGGAAATTTCTATCTCCAGACCTGGTGTTATTCTGCAATTGCAGAAACCTCTCTCCTGAAGAACATCATCTTGAACAGGCAGCTACTGGCTCACCGTGGCCAGTCCCCAAGCACTGCTGGGGGAAAAGAAGGGGGCAAAAAAGGTCCCATCCTGGATCTTGGGATCAGCTTTGGCCTGAACCTGCTCCTTCCTTCAACCTTGGTTGTCCTAGGGAAGTGTGGGATGAGCCTAACCGCCGCTTTCTCTCTCTCTCTTCCTCTCTTTGCCTTTCTGTCTTCCGTGCAGGCAACTTTGTAAAGAATTTACAGATCTCTTGGCCCAGGACAGGACGCCCATTGGAAACAGCCGGCCCACCCCTATTTTGGAACCGGGCATTCAGAGCTGCTTGACTCACTTCAGCCTCATCACTCACGGCTTTGGGGCCCCCGCTATCTGCGCTGCCCTCACGGCCCTTCAAAACTACCTGACTGAAGCTCTCAAAGGCATGGACAAGATGTTCTTGAACAACAACACTGCTAACAGGCACACATCTGGCGAAGGACCAGGTAGTAAAACTGGAGACAAGGAAGAGAAACACAGAAAATGAGAGAGAGAGAGAGGAAAAAAATAATAAAGAAAGAAAGAAAGGAAAAGAAAAAAGTAAAATAACTAAAAGGAGAAAAGAAAGAGAGAGAGATAATCTTTTAAAACAAAACCGTCTTAATTTTAGCTTTAAAAATATTGGATTGGGCTTTGGAAGAATTCTATTAGGTAGGACAAAATAATAATAATAACAAAATAATAATAATTATAAAAGAAAGACAATAACTTAAGATCAGAGGAGCACAATGGCGCAAGACCAGTGGTTCAGAGTCTCTTGCCAGGAACACGTGAAGACAACCACCAGGATTTTTTCCCACTTCTGTTTCACATTTTTTAAATAATGATTTGGGGGGGAGGGGAATATAATAATAATTAATAATAATAATAAAAGAAAGAAATGAATAACTTATTGGAAGAAATTGGAGAAACATTTTTGGTGTCAGTGCTTTGATTTCTTGAGCTGCACGGTCTGTCTTTCTATTATTTTTATTTTCTTCTTCTTTTTTTTTTTTTTTTCTTGAACGACGTCCTGTCTCCACCCTAGCTAAAATGATCTTCCAGAGCGTTCCTTTCTGAGCAGCCCCATCGCCTCATTCCCCCCCAACTCTTCCCATCTCATCTCACCACCCTGGTTCTGTCTAGACTAGGAAAGGAGGGGAGGCGAACGCACAGACCTCTCTCGAAGTCATCACCACCAGCCAGTTCGAGCTGCGTTCATGGCAGCGGCTTAACATGAGATGCCGTTAGATGGGAAGTTTCGAGTCGTCGTAGCTCAGTCGAATTAGCTAACTCAATTTTTAAAGAACTTTTTTCGTTTTCCTGGTCTAGACAGACTGTCTGTTTAGATTACCAGCGTTTACAGGTGTGTATGGGCGCGTGTGTGCCTATGTGTGTGCATATGCGTGTGCGCACACATATCTTGATAGGGGTGCGTGTGTATCCTATGTATGTTTGTATATATATATGGCTATATATGGCTATATCCATATATATATATATATATATATATAAAATATGTGTGTATAGCCACACATATTCATGCATGCAAACATACCTTTGTAATTTAGTACTTGCCTTTGATGGTAAAATGCCTTGTCTATAATGGGTTGCAAAATTTGAAAGTAAGGTCTGGTAAAATGTCAGCGCTATCTGATTTCATAATTTTCTGAGATCTCCTCTTTTTCTCTAGAGAGTTTTATATTCCTAACTATGCCAATGTTTCAGTCCTTAATTTCCTTGAGTAGTGTGTGTGAGAGATATCTTCCCCCGTTTTTAAAGAACTGTTAACAGCAACAAAAAATGAGTGATATGAGTATGTAATTCTTTCTCAGGAGTATGCACTATTTTATTTTCTTCTGTTTCCTAAAGCTTTGCCCGCTTGGCTTATGAGCTTCTTCAAAGAGGACTAGAGATCCCTACACAATATATCAGGTACAGAGAAAAAAAATCCACAATTCTGATATTCTGATACTTTCCTTTTTTTATTTTTTATTTTTATTTTGCTTTTTCAAATCAAAGCCAGTTGTTTCCGAATTCTGTAGGTGCACTTCTTTAAAGAAGCTCAAAGGGAATAATTTGAACGAGATAAAAAACATAAGTTGAAATCGAGGTGTAATATTGCAAAGAAAATAAGAGCTGTGTTGAATGTTACCGCACTTGCTTGGCACTAGGGTTTTGTACCCAGGGAGGAAAGGGTTGCCATGTGAGCTGGCTCCTCGTGATGGGAGTGGGGAGGGCTTGCCAGGGAATATCCTGATTTCTGAGAGCTCAGTCTGAGGAAGTCTGTTTCTCTTAGAAAGCGTTTAAAAAAATGTCTTGTGACTCTTGCTTTAGAATGAGTTGGTGTGGTAGGGGGAAAAAAACCACTTCTTAACTCCAATGTTTTTCTCAGTGGTTTGGTGTGTGACAGGATGTCTTATGCATATGATTTGGGGGCGGGGGGGGGGGGGGAGGGGAGGTTTTATTTCCTTTTTTTTTTTTTAACATACATTTCTTTGTCTTCTATGGTAAAAATAATGCTGAAGTCTAAAGGATATGGATTTCTGTTTGGGTTCTGCCATATTGGGTGATTGCATGTGTTTCTCAGTGGGGTAGGGTTCGTGCACTAACACATCTTTTTGCTTATGTCAGAACAGTTACTGGGTGGGGGTAAATCTCCTGGAGTCGCTGGCAAAACTCCAGTGGGATCAGGCCTCCCCCAAGATCCCTGTTAAAGCTGCGGGACTCAATCCCACCCACCCAAGCAGGCACACCTGAACTCAGAACAAGAGAGAGAGAGAGAGAGAGAGAGAGAGAGAGAGAGAGGGAGAGGGAGAGGGAGAGAGGGAGAGAGAAAGAGAAGCCTTAGCCTTGTTTTAATTTCTGGGAACCTTCCCAAGTGGATGGTGGGGGAGAAATAATTCAGCAATACTCTCAACATCCCCCAGCACAATTTCCTTAAAAGAAAAAAAGCAAATGAGCCTCTTAATTGTCACCCTTAGTGTCCTTAGCTGTCTGAGAAACGGCTACAGCTGAGGGCCTGCCCTGCTTTTCGAATCTTTGTGCAGCAAATGACGCACAAAACTTCTCCCCCACCTGGGAGTTGGACACGTGTGTGGCAACAGAAACCCAGGAATCATGCAGCCCCAAGGAGCACTGACCCTCCTCTGGAGCTGCTGCTCAGTCATATATCTTTGGTTCTTCTGGGACAGAGTGCTGTTGGGAATCTCACGTGAGAAAAGGGGGAAACTGAGGCAGATAGCCTTCTCCATGGGCCACTGGGATAAATTTGAGGTAGCCTTTGGCACTGGAAGGTCCCTGGTAGTGGGTTTGGTAACTGGCATGCCCCTGTGGAAGTTATCAGAGGAGGTGTGGATCCCTGGGTGAGGTAGATCTCATGGATCTCCACCGATAGGATGAAAAGCAGCCCCCTGGCAGCCCCTGATCCTCCAAGGCCCTTGCCAACAACCCCCAATTTCAGCAGGCCCCTGGGGAAGGACAATCCAAGCTCCAGTGCAGGGCATACCCTAGCAGCGATGATGTGGGAAAGGGAAGGGGTACACGTGTGTGTATCTGGGGAGGAAGGAGTGGCACCACCTAAAAGCACCATCTCCCTTCTCTGCCTGACGAGAATATTCTGTTTATTGAAGCAGAGCACAGCGTGTTGAACGTTGCCTCCCCTCTGCAAAAAGCCTTTGTGAGGAGCCCACGGGCCCAGCCCTCCAGCATCACCCAGCCCACTGGCGCTCCTGGAGGTGGAGATACCCCAAGTTAGCTCTCAGTCTTCCGCCTCCCCAGCTGCACACACAGGGACATGGGGACCTGCTCCCTGCCACCCCAGAGCTTCCAGCTGAAGGCTTTGAGGGGATGTTGGGGATGGTCCCTCCTTGTCTTTGAGGAAATGCTTGGAATTGTCCTTTTAGCTGCAGAAGACAGTGCCCTACCATGACTGTGAGTCAATGAGGAGAGGAAATCCCTTGTAACTTCCTGGGGAAAGACCTGCCCACACATTTGCACATGCTCACGTAGGTGAGGACCTGATCCTGCTACTGAAATTTCCCCTAGGCACAGGTTTGGTCACCTGGACCAGGACATAAACCTTCAGAAGGTTGAGGGAAGAGTTTCAGTTGGCTCCTGACAACTTTGGATCTGACCCTCGTGCCTTCTACCCGGAAGGGACAGACTGCAAATGCCAGGCTGTGCCTCCCTCAGGCGAACTAAAGCCAAATGTAAAATTCCCATTGATTGCAGTGGGATGCCCCCCATTTGCTCCCTGAGGTAGGGAGACAAAGTCCAAGAGGTTTCTGGTTTAAATGCAAACAGATAGAAAGCATGGCATAGGAATACATCCATCTCTGTTCTTCCTCCTAGCCTAGTACTGGTCCCAGAGGGAAATACCCATTGCTCAGTGGCTGCTATCAGTGCTGAGGACTGAAGTCCCCCAAAAACTAAACTCAGCCTCCCACTGGAAGGCATTTTCCTGCTCCCCTGCACTTTCCCAGCCTGACTACTTGTGTTGGCGGGGCACCTCAGACGTTTATCTGATAATTGAGTTATTAAAAGATTTGGTTTCCTCGGGATCATAAATCAATAAACAGGAGGATTAACACGGCAGCTTTGCTTTTTAACTCAAGGGAAAAGTTTGAGGAGAGACCGTGAAAAGTTTGTTTTCAAACCAAACAGGTGGGTTGCTGTAAATTTTATTTCATTCTTAGTCTCGCTTTTTTTTTTTTTTTTTTTTTTAAATAACAATTCTTTATTTTCCGTTGGAAAGATCTTTGGTTTTGTACGCTCCCTGACTTTTTTTTTTTTTTTTCCCCCTGGTTGTTATTCACACAAGGTGTGACAGAAACAAGAAGCCAATTTTATGGGAATCCTTTTACAACCCGATGACTTCTTTAAAATCGGGTCGTGTCTTGTCCCACCTAATAGAAATTCTCTGTGAGAAGCTGTTTTAAGTCCCTTTGCATCCCAGACCAACCTCCCCCAAAATCCCCAAATTTGCATTTGGGGCTGGGGGGGGAAGGATGGTTTTAAGACCTTTAGCTGTGCCCAAAGGGCTTATTCCCTTCCCCTGCTCTTCTCTTTCTGACCGGTTTATCACGCAGACCTGTTCGGCTCTGTTTTAATACGTTTCTCAGAGAATTTGGTGCTCGTTTCAGCTGCCGTAAGCATTGCCAGATCGATCCGGCCAAACTCCCCCTCCCCTCCGGCTTCCCTGTGTGAGAGAGACCGTAGGCTTTTTACAAATAGTATATTTTCTTATACAAAGGGAAAAAGTCAAAGAAAATATCCCCAAACACACTGGCAAATGCCTGAACATTTTGAGAGAGACAAAACATTGTGTGCCAGCGAGAAATAAAGGGGAAAAAAACCCTAAACAAATGCAAAGCTCTGAAAAAGCAAATGAGAAACTGGAAAGATGAAAGAAAAAATTCTAAAATTCTCCTTTTATGCCCCAAACGATCCCTTTCACCTCCTCTTCTTGACAAATCTGAACATGCAGTGAGAAATATCAGTTTATCGACTCTTCCTGAGAAGAAATGC